AATGCAGTCAGTTTTCAGTCCAGGGATAATCCAAATAACAAACTCCAGTATCAAAAACAGTTCAGTAAATAGACTCACATCAAATCCAAGAAGAATGATGATCAGCAACAGTCAATAGGGAAATGCAGGAACTCAACACTCTCTACAACAACAGAACAGAACAACCCAGGTTTCTGGGCCATTTGTTTATGGCCATTTGAGGAACCACACCCAATTATAATTTTAGCATTCCCTTAAAGAGACAGTATTAAAATGTCTATCCTGGTTTATATATTTTCCAACCCAACTGTTAGGTGACTTACATTCCTAACAGTCACCACCTAGAATCCTTTTTTTACCTGTTCAATGATTTCTCCATCCACAGTTTGCTAAAAGATTTGGCCAAGGTTTGCTGGGTGCTGCTACCCCTCCCGCGTCTGTTACCTCCAAATGAGTAAAACTTCTGCAAGACTTCTTTATTTATTTATTTTAACCACCCCCCCCCCACTCTCCCCCAGGCCTTGGACCAGTCGGGAACGGACAAATTCCTGGTGGTCTTCCCTTCAGGGACTCCTTTGCCAGCTCGAAGGCAACACATGTTGGAGGCCCCGGGAGAAATTCCCTCCGTCTTTCTGGAATTGTACGAGTCTCTGGAAAAAGGCCCGGTAAAAGAAGACGAGAGATTTGCACAGGTAGAGAAAGAAAAAGGCTGCTAATGTGGGCAGTGCAATGTTTTATACCTGTTCAGAAGGAAATGTTTGTTTTCAGCATATCTCCTTTGGCATTTACAGGCTATGAATATTTTTTTGATTGAGTTTCAGAAGTGCACAGGTTTCATGCTTGGAGATATATATACATACATACATACATACATACATACATATTTTAAAGCTATTTGGGGGAAAAAAAGTCTGATTTTTTTTTAAGGAATTTAGAGGATTTTTTTAAAAGGTTTGCTATGTATCCCATATTTTTCTGATAAGTTTTGACTCTCTTAGTTTCCGAAATCTCTCAAGTTAAAAATATATATATGAAATTTTCCTGTATGGAGTGCTGAAGTTCCATTACTGTTGATCTTAAAACTCTGTGAGAAGAATTTAAGTCCTTTGTCATTCAATCCAAGTGGAGGATTAAAGCAAACCTTTAATCCTTAGAACATTTCCCTAACAGTGATTTCAAAACTTTGTTGCAGCTGAATTATATATTTGTGGTTGATTTTTTTTTTTAACAGATTGTACTCCAGGATTTAGACGTCAAAGCAGGAGGTCTGCATCATATATTAACTATCCTTACAATGAAGAGGTACGGAAAACAGAAATCTTACAATTCTTTGGGTCAGAACCATGAGTACTTACCGATCTTGCAATGTGATAATTTTCATGCTGATATAACCAGATTCTAAATATATATTAGGGACACTGGAAAGGACATTTATTGAGCAATTCTAATTTTCCATAAATATTTCACACTTCCTCACTTTTTGAAAGGCCATTCTCCTCCCCTGTGGAAAGGGGAGATGGATACCCAGTCTACCACGTGATCACAGGAGCACTTGGCAACCACTTGGAAATACAAACCGGTTGGCCAGCACCTGAAATGGGGTTGTGAGACCGGGGAGGACAATAACACATTGTACAATTGCCCTTAAGTGCTTGTAAGGGCCACGAAGCTCTTGCTTTAGGGCTGATTTGACTGGGAACCATCATTGAATGGCTTGTTGTAAGACGAGAACTACCTGTGGTGTGCCTGCTTTCAGCTGCAGTATCTCTGCATGGAAGAAAGGAGGCTGCTGTTCGCAAGCCACAAGCCAAGAAAGAAATGGATAAAAACAAAGGCCTTCCTGAATTAACATAGATCTATAAAGGCGAGAGATGGAACAGAAGTGTCCTTCTTGCAACCCTCTTGCACCCATTTCTGGGACCCTGAATTCAATAAACATTTTACGCTGATCCACACCTCATTTCTGTCGCTAAGACTGAAATCAGGGCTGTCCAACCATGACCACTTTTAAGACCTGTGGACTTCCAACTCCCAGAATCCCCCAGCCAGTGGTGCCTTGCTGGGGAATTCTGGGAGTTGACATCCATCGGTCTCAAAGGGCCAAGAATTGGACACCCGATTTAGATCTTGGCGATGGAAATGGGGTGCGGGTCAGCAGAAAACGCTCTGTCGATGCATTGCTGGCTAGGGAATTCTGGGAGTTGGAAGTCCAGTGGCCAAAGGAGGGAGGCACCCCTGATCTGCATGTTTTAAGAAGTGAGGATAAAGTTTATTTTTCTTTCCTCAGGGACGGGTCATTACACGTAACCTGTACAGATCAGGACACCGGGAAATCTGAAGCCATCACCGTGGAAGTGGCCTCCTAGCAATTGGAGACCTTGTTTCCTCCACTAGAGTAAACCTTTCCCTACGCGGTGTTTTAAGACGAGCAAAGATTTCATTCTTCAGAGGCAACCAGTCATAGCTGGGCGCCTTCACGATGGAACTGTGAAACCTTTAAGGGAGATTCCCACAAACCCATAAAGGCCAATTGGCTTCATTTCGGTTTGTCAACCGTGTGTACATTGGAGAATCTATTCTGTTACTTGTGAATAAGAAACTTTATGTTTTGATAGTCGTAAAATCTTTACAAGCTTTTTTTTTTTAACAGAAGGCCTTCGTTGGCAACTGAAAAAAAGAGAACTCATGTCTAGTGACCTGGATGGGCTGAACTGATACACACACACACACCCCTTTGTTAATGGGAGTTTTGGTTCTTGCACGATTAAACCCTTGGTACGGTACGTTAAAAGGTTATTCATAAGAGTAATAATCCCTTCCATAATAAGCATAATCACCCCCCCCTTTTTATATAGGTATAATCCTGGGAGCTTGTTCAGTCTCTCTATAATAATAATAATAATAATCTTTATTGTCATTGTACATATATACAATGAAATTGATTTTGCTCCTGCTGGTGCTATCCGTGACAAAAATACAACACAACACAATATAGAAAATGGTCCTTATACAAGTAGTTGGGGAGAAAGCAGTCCTATGTTTCCAGGTATGCATGGAGTGATGGTAGTTGTGTTTAGGAGTCTGACAAGCCCTGGATAGAAGCTGTTTTTAAACCCGTATAAAGGTATGTAGCTGGACATGAACCTTCCTTAGGAAAGATACGGAAACAAAAAACCAGAACTGCAAATAGAGAACAAAACACAGAAGATAGACTGACAAATGACCTCTTTTATGAACATAAGTGCCTTGCAGAAAAGAATTTGGTAGCAATTAATCGCACTCTTGTTAACGTTCGATGCCAGTCCGGTGAGGTGATCTAAAGGCTAACCCTGACACTCTTCTCAGGGAGGGGAACCAGAGAGCTGTTCTCATGAGCCATAACACAAGAATCCTGGAAAACGACACCCATGATGTGCGAATAAAACAGTGGGTCCCACTTGCAGGTCAAGGAACTCGGCCCCAAGGCCTGAGCATGGGGATTTGGGGGTGAAAGCAACGGGCCAAGGGGTGACTTACGGAGAGGAACCTTCTCGGTTCATCCTGAAGTCAGGATCTGAAGGCCACAGGCCAACAGCCGGCGGTGGGAGGAGAACTTGCAGAAGATTTAAATATGTCGAAAACAGAATCTAATTAGACCCGATGGAACTCACCTTCCAGATCCATAGTGGGCTACCGAATAACAATAACAATTCTGATAAAACATTTTCACCAATTGCACGCTTGTAAAAGAAAAAGTTGGAGGCTAGTAGCATTGGTTGGTCTCTAGCCAGAGGCTGGTGGGCTCCAAACTCTGCAGAAAAGCATGAGATATTCTATTACAACAGAAGGATGGGACACAAATGTCCCCTGGGCTCCCATTCCTTCTTGCGCACACACACACACACACACCCCTCTACCTATATACATTGTCATTCCCCCTGCCGGGAGTCTGAATCTGAGGAAGATGAACAGCTGGGAGGGGGAGGGTGGCTCCATTGGCTGTGGAGGAACGGGAGAAGGGAAAAGTCCGGCTGGGTAGAGCAGGGGAGAGGTGGAACAAGGGAGTTCAGAGGAAGACCCAGGCCCACCCCCTCTTCATCCTAGGGCACACAGGGAATGGAGAAGAGAGCAACGTGGGTTGCATGGCCTATGGGGGAGGCAAGGGCCCTGATTCCCTTCATTAGCTGCAGCTGGGAACACAGTGTATAAAAAGGGAAGCTGAGCACAAGTTCTTGGGAGCAAACAGTGAATTATCTATTATTGTCGAGGTTTATCTGGGTTCCTTGTGTCTTCCCAACTGTGTGTATTTTGCTGGGCTTTGAAGTCTGCAATTCCTTCTCCTGCCCTGTCAAATTAATTATTGCAGCGTGGTTTGTGTGGATTTTTAGTTACAGTTTATATGTACTTTGCTTTTGGACTGAATTTCCCCCACTTAAAGGCTGTTCCTGGGAGAGTTTTTCTCCACCCAAAGCTAACCTGGACATTGGGGGCAAAGTTGGAGATAATAAAGGCACTCCTATTGCTTATTTGACTGTGTTGCCTTTGTGCCTTGCTCCTTTGGGTCATCACACGCATACAGACACACATAAATACATACACATACATGTCTATATATGTATATACAAGTATACACATACACACAAGTACAACATACAAAAACATTTTATTACATTTTGTACAAATACAAAAACATGTATGTGTATATATACATACGTTTTCTTAAGTTTTCGCGGGTATTTATATGTATGGCATTCAGCTTTGTTCGGGTATTTTCCCACGTCATTGTAGTTGTGCTTTTAAAGTTGTAGCGATGTTTCGGCAGAATCTCATCTGCCATTATCAGGCTTCTGTGTTGTGTTCATCTGTGAAGTTGCTACAACTTTAAAAGCACAACTACAATGACGTGGGAAAATACCTGAACAAAGCTGAATGCCATACATATACGTATATGTATATACACATACACACACATAAGTATAATATGCAAAAACATTTTGTAGTACAATTTGTACAAAATACCAAGACGTGTATATTGATATATATGTAACATTTGAAGCAACCCTTGACCCCTCTTGAGGGAGGCCAAAGTTTCTGGGTGGGGCTGGTCCCTCCTGGTCAGTGGAGCTGGTCTCCAGCTGCCAGCTTTTGGTACAGAGGGCGGAGCTGCTGAGGGCCGGGCATCTCGGCCCCGGGAGTCGGTGGCACTTCAAAATCCAAAGAGCCCTGAGAGTCGGCCGCTTGGACCGAGTCCGGATTGAGGGGCGTGAGCCCTGGCCTCCCTTCTGGCTTGGCCCCTTCCTCCTCCGGTTCGGTTCCACGAGGAGCTTCTGCTGCGCCCCAACACCTGGCCTTGCCTTCCCCGGGCCTGGGCTCTGCGCCCCGGTCGAAGGGCAAGCCCGTTTTCTTTTCTCCTGCCAGGAGGTGAGGGAGGCAGGCGGCCATCCTGTCGGTCCTCCCCTTGGAAGGGCTGAACTCCGCTGCCCTTCGCTCCTGGGAGGAAAGGAGGACGGTGTCGGCTTGGCTGTCCCACCCTTGGCTGCTGCCCTGCTCAGAGATGTGGGTGGACTGAGAGGAATCCTGAGAGGAGATGTGGGTCGAGTCGCTCAGATCGTCCTCGCTGAAGGGGCTGGAAGGCAGCGGCTCAGCCGAGTCTGGGCAGGGCAGGGGGCCCTCGGGGTCAGAGGCCTCGGGCTCTTCCGAAGGGCGCCTGAAGAAACTCTCCCACTTCGGCACCTCCGAGTTAGCTTGCGGTCGACCTTCCTCGGGCTGCCCGGGGCTCGTGGCCCCCACGAGATGTTCGGGGCGCTGCCAATCTTCAACAAAGCCTGTCCCCGCTAACGGGATTCCAGGAAGAGCCGCCTCCCTCTCAGGTGGTTCTTCTTCTTCTTCCTCCTCCTCCTCCTCCTCGCCGTTCGATTCTTCACACTCCACAAAATCCACCTGCAAAGAGGGAGGCAGCGGAGACGCCTTACGAGCGGGGTGGTGGTCGCCTCCTTCTTCTCCGCGATTTGGGGGAAGCGGCTTGCTCTGCTCCCCAGGCCCAATCTCTGGCACCAGTTTTGGAACCTTGGAGTTTGTGGGGACCAGCCCAAAGTCAAAGAGATCGTCGTCATCGCTGCCACCATCTGTCAGAACAAAACAAATTAAATTAATATATATAATCCTTTTCAGGCAGGGAAACCATCTTGGTTGCTCAAAAATCCTCCTTCAGACGTGCTGATTCTTCTGCAGGGAGGGAATTTTCGAGTTCTGTATTCAGCAGCTCGGGATCCTCCTGGATGTGTGATATCAAATGGTTTGGTAACTTAAGTATTGGTGGGTCTCGGGGAGGCCCGGTTTGTGATCCAGCCTTTGCTACTGATATTCATTCAGTGGTTCTGGGCCTAAACCCATCCCACAGGGGGGGAAAACTGGAAGATGAAGGACCAGGTGGGTGCTTTGAACTCTGGGACAAAAAGTGAGGCCAAAAATCAAAGTCGAGTCATAAAACATTTCTATGCCTGTCTTAGGAGTTGCCATAAAAAAAAGCAACCAATTTAATTCATGATTTAATTAAGGCAATTGCTGGAATCCTGACAATCCAATTAACAAAATGTCTCTGGAGGTTCTCGGTCTTCCAGGTCCTGGTTGTCCCAAAGGTGCTTTGTGTCAAGGAGGCAACTGGACTTTCTGTGTTTTTCTTGGAAAGACGTTTCGCTTCTCATCCAAGCAGCTTCTTCAGTTCTTCCATCCTCCATCATTCACCCTGAACTGAAGAAGCCTCTTGGATGAGAAGCGAAATGTCTTTCCAAGAAAAACACAGAAAGTTCCCTTGCCTCTCGGGAAAAAAAGCACCTTTGGGATAAATTAACTACATCAAGACCAATGTTTTTAAGATGTGTGGGCTACAGCTCCCAGAATCCCCTAGCCCATATAGCTTTGGCTGGGGAATTCTGGGGTCTTGCAAATCACACCTATCTTAAAATAGCCAAGGTTGAAGGACGAATGGCAAGGGAAAACAACGGGCGCATGGTATCACATGTGGCGGACGTGTACGAAGGCAAAAAAGTGCTGGATGAAAATACATACGTGGTTAGAAAAAATGTTAAAGCAACACACAGATTATAAGCCAGAAATATTTCTCTTAGGCATAATACCAGAAAAAAATACGATAAAGGGAATATATATTTAATATTACATGTCTTGATGGCAGCAAGAATTGTATATGCACAACATTGGAAAAATGAGGGCACCTCTACAGCTGAACGCATAATTTTAAAAAATACGAGATTGGGCAGAAATGGATAGGTTGACATTAAGGATAAAAGAAAAAAAGATACAGAATACTTTCAAACATGGGACTTATTTTATCAATATTGATCAATAGAAGCAGAAAATAAAAATTGGAAAAATACTATTATGTATGTCTTATGTTTAATATATTATTATACTGTATACTATTACTAGCTCGATCCCTGTACTTTGCTATGAAACTATGTCATCGGACTGTTTTGGGGGAGGAAAATAAGGAAAAAAGAAATTCTGCCTCTGCCTACCAACATTGGTATTCATCTGGCTAATGTCCTGTCAGTGTGTTAGAGTTGAGGGCTGTTTGGAAACTGAGAGTATTTGCTGTGGGAGCAAGGAGACAGCAAAGAGCCTGGGCGTGGCTTAGTTCAACTGTGCTGTCCTAAAGCTGCTTGGTGCTGTGAAACTGAAACTGAAACTAAAACTAAAACTGAAACTACTCTGCTTGTGTTTTGCATTTGGAGATTTCTTTTCCGGTGGGGAGGGGGAGTAGAACTCCTGAGCATCAGAGTGTGATTATGATAATAATGATAATAATGATAATAATAATATAGGAAATATTCTAAATGCTCTGATGGGCATTTGGAAAAATACTTTCTTAATGAGCTCCTAGAAGCCAAGAGGAACCTATGGGCCAAATTTCTTTACACTTTACGGTTCTGGAGATTTTGTGATGATGCGTGAGGGGTATTTCGCTTTTATATATATAGAAGATGTAAGGAAATTGACCCAGACAATACGCTGTTCATAAAGCACTTATGCATGGAAAGGAAAAATATATAAACAAACTCTTTTAAAAAAAATGGCAAGGGGAAGGAAGGTCGATCTTTTCCCTCTTACTGGTGTCCAGGAGCTCCAAGGCCCTCGGTCTCTTCAGCGTGCCGAGAGGTTTATAGGTTGGCCGGTTGTTTGGCCTGTACTTCCTGCAGAAGGGCTTCAGGCTGAGGAGGGGAAAGAACGGCCCAACTTTACAGAGTGATTCAAATCTTACAAGGGGAAAACAAAACAAACCATGCAATACTGAACCGGAAATGCATCGCCTCGTCTTGCTTAATTTTAGAGAAATTTAAGAGTGAACCAAGTCAAATTTGGGTTGTAATCCAGACATTCCAATCTTGGGATCCAGCGCTTCGTTCGGAAATACGCTATCCTTGGATTAAAAGATGGCGAGCCCTTATCAAAATTGATTTTTGACAAGAGTAGCCGATGGAGGAGTTTTAACGAAGGATGGCTTGATGTGGATTCCATCACAGGGCGTTCAGTCCCTTCACTTAACAACGGCTGCGGAACCTGGGGGTAAGTTGTGGGGGGGCGGGGGTCATAAAATGACTTGGCATTGTCTTTATTTTTTATTTTTTTTTGCAGTGGCCGTTAAGCGAACACAGCAGTCGTAAACCGAACCAATGGTTTGCCGTTGGGGAAGTTTGGCTGAAAAGAAAATAAAAGCTGGTTTTCAGAAGAAAACAAAACCATCATAAAATGCGGTCAGGTGACCGTCAAATGGAGACAAACGTGGCCCCGTGGCCGCGCACCCCAAACCTGATCACGCAACGAGGGGGAGAGGCACCCATCGTTGGAGCTTCAAAATTCGGGTTGTGAGTAGCTTCCCAGGAAGCCCGTTGTAATTTTGAAGGGTTGCGAGCTGACCAGGTTGTGTAAGTGGGGCGCTTTATTTGTTTTGTGGAAGGGGAAAAAAACAAAGCAAAACGAACAGGACGTTAACACTTACTTTTCTTCCACTCTGTCCTTGGTGGACCCCAACGGAATCACATTGGGGTAGGCATTCACTGGGCAAATGTAGCTCAAGAAATCTTGGATCTAGAATGGCGGATTGAGGGGAACACACACAAAAAAAGAGGATGCATTAATAATATTTAATGCCCCGCCTCCATTTCTTGTATTTATGATTTGCGATAGCTTGAGAAGTACGGATAGACTTACAATAGTTTGTTGTCAACCAAAAAATACTCCTTTGGTTGTTTTAGTTGCCAGCAGAAAGAGAGTTGGGGGGGGGGGGGGGGTGGGGAAGCAGTGCATTCCTTAAATGCTTCAGATAATTGCTCTGGCAGCCGTAGCTGTTGGCATGCAAGATTATTACTGGAGAGCATGATTGAGGACTCTTGGCTATGGATGTGTCCCATTGGAGAATATACATCCAGTTCTAAGGGGAAATGCAATTTAACAAACTGAAAGTGGAACGACGTACCTCACTGTAAGAAGAGTGGAATGAGAAGCAAGCTCTGTAGGAACTTGTTCCGGCCCTAAACAACAAGGCATAAATTTAAATTAGTTTCCTCTGCTGTTGATCAAAATGAGATTAAAAACAAAAGCTGAAAATCTCTTCTGGGGGATAAGAGAATGCTCCTTTGGCAGCCATCTTCCCGAAGGAATGAGGGGTCCTCTTGAGGACCGGAATAATTGAACGTACATCTGGAAGACTAGAGAAGTTCTTCTAAAACTTCAATCTTCTAAAGGAATCTTAGAGTCAATCTGTGACATTCGGAAGTGGAAGGAATTTGATTCTGGTGAAAATCAGTTTTCTAACAAGCTTAACCTTATAGATGGTTCAAGGATCTGGTACGTCAAACAAGAAGATGCAAGGATGAACCATAAGAAATATCCGTCACTTGCCTGGAATTGGAATTTTTAAAATCTTTCAGGTTAGTTTTCTCTAAAACTCCTAAACATCAGCACTCCATATAAGTGCTAATTTGCATTCTGCCTGCTTCACAAATAAACCAGGAAAAATCTATGTGTATTCGTAAAGGGCAGGATGAAAGGAGAAGCAAAAATACAGAAGACCTTCTTACTTTGAATCAGTTTAAATCACTAGAACCACCTGAACTGCACCCCCGAGTAGTAAAAGAAATAGCTGGTAATGAGGGTGAAATTACTTCAATTAACCTCACTTGGTTTAACTGATAATAAAAGAAGAGCCTGCTTCCCAATTGCTGTGAAAAGTATCGATGAGAGGTGGAGATAAACTGCTAATTTTGTGAAGTCTCTCCGAGCTTCATGGTTTTCTTGCAGACGTTTAATTGCCCAACTAGGCAACATCATCAGTGTTAGAAGGGAGGGGGGTTTGGAGAGTGAAGGAGGAGGAGGATTGTGGGGTCCTCAGTGTTGGTGGTTTTCTTCTGGGCATCTCATGACCCAACTAGGTTACATCATCAGTGCTAGAAGGGAGTGGGCTTTGCACTTTCTAGCACCGATGACGTTCCCTAGTTGGGTCATGAAATGTCTGTAAGAAAGCCACCAAACTCAAGAGAGGACACTGGACCTCACAGTTCAGTCCAGAACTGCCAATATTCTCTATTCTTCTAATGCTAAATTTCAGAAATTTAAAAGTGCCAGACCCTCACCTCATGATCACCTTGCTTTTCCGCGTCCTTTCTCCAAACCACATGGTGGATGGCTTGACACTGATAACACACAACTCGTGTCCGTTCTGGGAAGTCATTCCACACGGCAGTCGGTTCCAGCGAAACATTTCGTCATCCTAATGGGCAGATAAACACCTGGACAGATCGGGGCGAAAAGTCTACGGAGATCCTCAATCACCCAGGTCCTGGTTGTCCCAAAAGTTTTTTTTTTTTCCCAAAAGACAATTGGACTTTGGGGGTTTTTTCTACCCCCTTGAAGACGTTTCGCTTCTCACCTGAAGAAATTCTGAAGAAGCTCCTTGGAATGAGAAGCGAAACATTCTTCACCTCTTCCAAGAAAAAACAAAAACAAAGTAAAAGCACTTTTGGGATATTAGTACAGTAAGGGCCATCGTTAATGATTCTCTACGGGATCATTTCACCTTCACGTTGTCTTCCACCGGAGGGAAGGCTTCCGTAAGTGAGCAGGAAGGCAACCCTCCTTCTTTTCAAAGGAGATACATACCCTCGGATGGCGACAGGCGTGAATCTGGGTACGCCGATTGGTGGTAACGTGGTAGAGGATTTCTGGCATGTTTTTAAACATGTCCAACTTGTTCACGTGCACCTAGGCCAGGAGGGTCATTAAAAAGGTACTTTAGACAACTCAGAAAAGAGACGAGAGATAACACAAGCCACCGTTTTTCAACAAAATATTGGGAGAGAATTTCTTGGCTCCTCCTCTTCGTGGCTGGAGAATACAGAACGTGCTGTAGAACTCCAAGGCAGGTTATTGAATCAGCCATAACTGTCGTGGATTCAAACCACACACACACACACACACACACCCAGGCAACCTCACTGCTTCTGAAAGGCCGGTGGGCCTGACCCAGACTGATCCGTAACCTGGTGGTCTCTGAGGTGGGTTGTTTCCTGGCAGACGTTTTATTACCCAGCTAGGGAACATTATCGCTACTAGAGCTCTGGGTAAGGAAAGGTTCGCAAGGACACAACCAGCCTCAGAAAGCAACCAAGATCCCCCAGTTCAAACCTGAGCCACAAACATTATCTTCTCTTGGTAAAACATTGTCCGCTTGGACACTTGGGGAAGAAAACGCCCAGGGAGCATGGTTATGGCTAAGAAAAACCATCTTGAAATGTTCCTATGCTACCTGGGAGTTTCAGGACGGGCTCTGTTCGACAACCTGAAGCCAAGAACCCTGGTGGCACAGGGGTGAGAGTGCAGTAGTACAGGCTGACTCACTGCTCACGGCCAGCACTTCGATCTTGACCGGCTCAAGGTTGACTCGTCCTTCTGAGGTGGGTCAAAGGAGGACCCAGGTGGTTGGGGGTCCAGAGGCTGACTCTGTCAACCGCTTAGAGAGGGCTGGAAAAGCCCCGTGAAGCGGGGTATAAGTCTAAGGGCTATCGCTACTCCTTCTCCCCACCTTCTCTTATTGCCTTTCTCCTTCTCCTTCCTGGTGGTGCAGTGGTTAGAGTGCAGCATTGCATGCTGACTCCGCCGACTGCCAGCAGTTCGATCCTGACTGGCCCTAGGTTGACTCAGCTTCTGTCCTTCCGAGGTCGGTAAAACGAGGACCCACATTGTTGGGGGTCAAGAGGCTGGCCCTGTAGACCCCTTTAGAGAGGGCTGGAAAGCCCTGTGAAGCGGTATATAAGTCTAAGGGCTTTTCTCATTAAGATATGTGGACTTGGGGAATTCTGGAAGTCTACATGTCTCCTGTTCAGGAAAGACTCACCTGGGGACACAGTCTTACCTTGATCCCAAGCTCTTCGCTGAGATTTGTGAATAAATACTCATATCCATAAGCCGCTTTGCAGTTCAACCAGACCACGTGATAGGGACTCTGGACCACCCAGTTCCGTACCAATTCCATCAACCCCTTCATACATTCTTCCTGATGCAAAAAAAAAAAGAATTTTAACTTGCAATTAACTTGCAATGATACTACACACTTATTCTCTTATTTCCCCACTTCTTGAATCCATGGAGATCAATATCACATGCCTATTTCTCAATATGAGGTCGCTTCACTACAAATGTAAGAAAAATTTCCTTTAAAATGAACTTGATGACTAAGTGTTGGTATTTTTTTTTTCTTTTAAAGCGGGCCAAACCAATCTGATTATCTACTGGGGCATTCCCAAATAATTAATCAGGAATAAGGAGTGTGGACAACATGCAGGATCTATCATCTAGAACAGGGGTGTCCAACCTTGGCAACTTTAAGACTTGTGGACTTCAACTCCCAGAATTCCTCAGCCAGCAAAGCTTAAAGTTGCCAAGGTTGGACACCCCTGATCTAGAATAAAGCAAAACTGAGCTATAATCGTAATTCAGACACTACTTGCTTACAATATTCAGCAACCTACCATAACACAGAATAAGTCTGAATTAATTATGTTGCATAGGAAAAGTCTACATTGGCCAGATAGCTGCCCAAATCATTAATTTGTACAGATGGAACCAAATATATGAATTGTAAGAAGTTTTGAGTGAAGTTATCAAAACCAGCAGCAATGGCAAGCAAAACTACACCACAAATAGGAAGATAGTTAAATTTTTATTGCTATCCCGTTGGCTGCAACAAAATGTGTGCATGTAATTTAATTCATAAGGTCCCTAGGTTTATGCTTCAAGGCACACTTGATTTTATCTTCATTACTAGTTGGTGAAAGGTATTCGCTTACATGTTGTGTACCGTTAACCTGCAACTATGCAATGTTATCTTTTCATGTTACTTACCCGGCTTGGTATTTGATAATATTTGCGGTCAAAGAATGTGGTGTCTAAATAGACACTCTGGATGTCTTTCACTCTGAAAAGAGAATGGCAGTATTGATCCAGTGGTCCTGGACTTATGACCACAATTGGTTCTGATGCTAAGCAGGGCAGTCAAGCAAGTTGTGCCAGATCCTATGACCATTTTTGCTATGGTTCTTAAGTGAACCAGTCTTTAAACACATCTGGCTTCCCCGCTGTTGGCTTTGCATGTTGGAAGCCAGCTAGGAAGGCCACAGAGGGTCACCACGTGACCCTGGAATGCTGGATCTGAATTTTGATCATGTGACCGTGGGAATGCTACTTGCAAGGCTGCTTTTTCCAGTGCTGTTGTAATTCTAAATGGTTGCTAAATGAATTGTTGTAAGTCTAGGACTTGCCTCTGACATCATTATGTCAGCTACACACGAATTCGTAAGGTTTATGTCAGGATCTGAAAGAGTGGTATGGTGGCCTAGAGGGGGAGCTCTTGCCTTACAATCAGGAGGTTGTGAGTTCGATCCTAGGGAGAAGCAAGATATTTCTCTTTCTGGGCACGATGGGACTATCTCTGCTGAACAAAACTCCGCTCTGGGGACAGGAAGGGCATCCGGCCGGTAAACATTCTGCTAGCTCCATTCAGTTGCCCAGACTCCACCTCGCAACCCCGCCAGGGATGATGGGGGGGTTGTTAAAAGGAGAATGATGATGAGAACCTGCTGCTAAAGTCTTTGAAGCCCAGGCTTTGGGGCTTCTCATATCATAGGCCTGGAGGGAAGTAGCATCCTCCAAGCATCTTAGCCAGCTAGGTTCAAGACATCCCAACATGCTGAAATCATTCCTCCCTGTTGACCCCATGCATGCTACCGAGGTCCCAAGGCAGGCACAGAACCCGCCCTTTCTTCAAAGGCCCACTACGGGCGGCCCAAGGGGAGGAGCCAGGGCCTGGCCTCACCTGCTTCCTGAATGCAGGAGTTCCATTCGGGCCACTTCTCCTTTGGCGAGTCGGAAATCTCCCGTGTACAAGACGGTCCCGTTTTCCCCTTGGAAGAGAAACCTGGTTGGAAGCGGAGGCATTCGATAGTCACGTATGCCGCTAAACAACCCTGCTGGGTTGTCGTTTCAGAGCTATTTCCTTACCGAAGCAGACAAACAGAATGAGCAAGGATGGGCAAAAAAGGCAGAACGACTTTTGACTTCCTGCCGTCTTCCCCATTGCATTTCCTTGTGGGAAGTTGGTAGGTAGTGCTAGAAATCCCTCTCACCCACCCACCCATCTTTCCTCCCTTCTCTCTTTCTCTCCTTCCTTCCTTCCTTCCTTCCTTCCTTCCTTCCTTCCTTCCTTCTTCATTCCTATTTTCTTTCCTCCTTCCCTCCCTTCTTTTTCTCCTTCCCTTTCCATTCTCATTTTCTTTCCCCCTTCCCTTTTTCTCCTTCATTCCTTCCGGTTTCGTTCCCATTTTCTTTCCTCCTTCCCTCTCTTCTTTTTCTCCTTCCTTCCCTCCCTTTTCATTCCCATTTTCTTCTTCCCTCTCCCTAATAGGGATAAATTAGGCTAATTACACTTAGATCCTCATGAAATGTAAAAGAATTACAGCAAAAGAAAACAAAATACACGTTGCCATTGTTGCTGTTAACTGTCTGAACAAAACACATACATAACTGATCCCGGACAATGACCGGCTGGCAGAAGTGTGACCACAACATCTTCTTTCTGGAAGGAAAAGGTGAAAAAAAGAGCTTCAAATTCATTAGGTAACAGAAAGGATGGAAAACTATTGGTTTTTGTACTAGTACCTGGTCCCCAATGATCGGCCAGAGTTAATAAAAGACACCTGCTTAGAATTATTCACCCATTTGTCGAGTATGCAAAACATTTTGAACTCAAAATCTTCCAAACATCCCCTTCTGATCTTATTGGAATTATTCCAAATTTTGCAAAAATAGTGTGACCTCTGAATTCTCTGTTTTTTTGATAGTTTTCTTCTGTTAATGGTCAGAAGAGCCATAAGAAGCAGCAAAGAAGCAATTTTGTCCTCTCTTGTATTTAAGATTTTCAACCGAATGGCTAGAAAATGAATTTTTGGTAATCCCCGAGTTATGATCGGTTGCTTGGCAATCAAAGTTATGACTGATCTAAAAAAAGGGGACTTTAAGGCCTGGTTTTCAGGGGTTACCAGCCCCTCCCCCACTGCTGGTCGTTGAACAACGTGGCTGCATTTATGGCCGTGTTCAGTCCAACATCACGTCACTGCATTTTACATGGGTTGGGCAAAACAAAAAAAACAAAAAACCAGCAGTTACTTCTGGTTTGCAGCAAAATTGTGCCTATGTTGAAGCACTGATTTGTGTAATGACTGCGGTGTTCGTCTTACAACTGCTACATTTGCTTTACTGCTGCAGAAAACATTGCAAAATCAGGCCAACCACACGGGCAGGCTGCATTACGGGTGTAACTCGAGAACTAGCTGCACAAATAAATAAACGACAGTCTGGGGGGGGGGGGTTGCGAGATTTGAGGTCCCAAAGGTGCTTTTCTTTTTGTCTGTCCTCAGGGTCACCCGAGTAGTGCAAATTTGCACAGACAAACCTCCAGGTTGCCTCAAGGACCCTCTAAAAGGACGCAAACGACCCGCTGTCTGCAACAAGTATAAACCCTTCCACTCCCCACCATCCAGTCAGAACCTAAGAAGCTTCCTGGAGGAGAAGTGAAACGTCTTCAAAAGAAAAAAACAGAAAGTCCAGTTGCCTCTTGAAAAAAAAAAAGCACCTTTGGGACAATTGTGACCTGGATGACGGAAAATCTCCATAGTAAGAATTGAGGGGGGGGCCTTCACGTTAGAAAACTTTAAATACAGACACATATTTTGATCAAAAAGCGTTGAGTTTCAGTGGTGCGTCTCACCTTGCCTGATGCTTCCTCAGTGAGAGAAATTTGAGTCGGGGTTTCAACTTCCAGGGTGACCTAAATCATAAAAACCATAACTGACAAATCAACGACAAGGAAGGAGATCTACTGATGGCACTCCTAGGAGGCAACACGGATATGTGAGAAACCCATCCCACTGATGTGAAAATGCAGGATTCTGGTTTGGTAAAAGAATGAACAGAGTGGATCTGCCTGATTAGCCAGGAAGGCTCTGCTCCTACATTTCCCCCCAATCGTGCCTTTAAGTTCCTTGCCATATAATTCCCAATGCTGTATTTAGGAAAATTCAGTCAAAAAACAACCCTGGAAGACAAAACCAACCTTTTATTTGTAACTCACCTTTATTATTTTTACAAAATAAAAACAGGCAGCGAAGGTATCCTAAACAACTTCCTCCTCCTGCTTTTCCCACAACCACCCTGTGAGGTGGGGTTGGGCTGAAAGAGAGAGTGATTGGCCCAAAGACACCCAGACAGCTTTCCTGCCTAAGGTGGGACTAGAACTCACAGTCTTCTGGTGACTGGGCCAGAGTCAGCCAGTCAGCTTTCATGACTAAGATGGGATTGGAACTCACCATCTTTCTCTTACTAGTTGGGTGCCTTAACTACTTAACAATATTATTCTTATGTATATTATTAATTACAAGAATTGATTATTGCCATTGTAGTGTTTATAGGTAATAAACAGATACAAGAAACAGGTCACTCACAATGTAATTTTCCCAGAATGCGTATCGCGGGCTGGACAGTAGCAATTCTTTTGTCACAGGGGAGCAATACAGGCGGAGTTTCAAGCTTGTAAGATAGAACCAAAACAAACAAACATACAATGCAATGTGTATTTCAATTTTGGGAGGTATAGTTCACACATCTTAAAAGTTGAGAAGATTGAGGACAAAAGGAAACAATCATGTGAGATAGCTCCATTTCCTCCTGATGAAGAACAATTTAGAACTGCATAGATGATCTTCTTCGAGCATTCTGATCTCCTATCCAAGCTATTTATTTCATAAGGCATGGAAGCCAATATCCTCCACAATTTGACAATTGGGTATAATTGCTAAATTCAGTATTTTAATGCAGGCCTCCAAGGATCTACTCTGATTACTTTTTATTTCACTTAATATCATTTCCTTTGTACAAAGGGGGAAAATATAGGTAAGAAAGATGGCAAGACAAAGAAACACTACTGCAATATGCTTTTCGAAGAAATTCGAAAAGAGGGGATTGCAATTGGAAGCTCCTGTATGCTGCTACTAAGTCTTGTTATTCTAGCAAAATTGAAAAGAATTAGTTATTTACCTGCACGCCAGCCGTCTTTTCATGGAAGGGGCTTTCAGGCCTTTCATGTGATCTAAAATGAACAAAGCAACGTGATATGAAATAAAATAACCTCCATGCAAATCATTAGGAAATGTTCATGTTAAATACCTCAACCAGTTCAAGGTTCCCTGCTTGTAAAATGTTGATACCCAGACTGAAAAGCAGGGATCAGTCCCTAAGAGGTCTTTTAGCAGCCCACACATTATGTATATTTTTCTTTATATATATATATATATACATACACACACATACATACATATATACATACATACATACACACACACACACACACACACACACACACAAGCAAAACGCCATTCACGCATCATCACAAAATCTCCAGAACCGTAAAGCCTACAAAATACTTGGAATTTGGCATGTATGTCCCTCTTGGCTTCTAGGGGCTAAGAAAGGATTTTTCAAAATGACCATCAGAGCATTTAGAGTATTTCCTATATTATTATTATTATTATTAACACGCTCTGATGCTAAGGAGTTCTATTCCCCCTCCCCAGCTGAAAAAAAGAAATTTCTTCCAAATGCAAAACACAAGGAGAGGAGAGGAGTTTCTGTTTCAGCTTCACAGCACAAAGCAGCTTTAGTACAGCACAGTTGAGCTAAGCCATGCCCAGGCTCCTTGCTGTCTCCTCCTTGCTCCCGCAGCAAATACTGTTTCAGATTCCAAACAGTGCTCAACTCTCTCACACAGGATGCTAACCAGATGAATACCCATGGATGCTGGTAGACAGAGGCAGAATTTTTATTTCCTTATTTTCCTCCCCCAAAACTAGGCCTGACCACATAGTTTTGTAGCGAAGCATGGGTACAGAGCTAGTATTAAAATAGTCTTTCCCTTTTGCAACCTTTCCGCATGCAAAACCGAGGGGGAAGCCCGATTCACTTAGCAACTGGATTTATAACGTAACAACGACAGTGATTCGCTTAACAACCAGGGGAAGGAAAGCCATAAAACGGGGAGGGGGGAACTCAACGTCTCGCTTAGCAAGAGGAATGCTGGGCTCCGTTGTGGTCGTAAGTGGAGGACCACCTGCACGGGGCTCACGTTTATCATCCTGCAAAGTGTCCACAGCAAAAGAGGCAGCGCTGGGATCTCCTGGTGGTCTCCTTTCCCGGCCCCTTCCATAGAACTGGGCCTCCCCGGCTCACCCTTATGGCAGTGGGAGAGGAAATAGGCCCAGGCGCGCAGGTTCTCCCGGTCGAAGCGGTCGATGGAGAGGTGCGGGTATTCCTCCATCACCCCGCCAAAGATGCTCATGCTGCCGCCGACGCCAGCGGTTCCTCTTCCGCTTCATACTTCCGCCAGACTCTTCTCGCCACTCTCTCATTGGCTGAGGCGGCGCCCAATCACAGGGACGCCTTCCCCGGACGCATGCGCAAAGAAGAATTCGGAGGGTGTGGCCCTGCTTTCTCTCAATCCCTCCTTCATCAGAAAGAGAGAAGGAGGCTCCAAGTTATCATTTGCGCATGAGCCCGGGTGAGGCTTTTCTGTGATTGGCGCCGCCTCAGCCTATCACGGAAACGCCTCATACGTGCAGAAGGGTGGGCGGGGGAGGGGATCTGTGATCTTCAGGGTCCTATTGCGGCATGGGGTGGCGGGGAGCTTTGATTGTCCTTGTATTAAATTGACTAAATTGTATTTACTCCGACAAAGGGGAAGGTTGCCCCAGGCTAAAGTGCAAAAGTACGAGACACAATTTCTATAGGGAGCTTCCCTAGTTTGAAGCTCCCGGTGATAACGATCATAAGCCAATAAAACGATGGCAGCGCGGACTGTTTTGGACTACGATTCCCAGAATTCCATCACGTCCGTCACGACCGAGAGTCAAATAGAAGCCGCTGATTGGCCCAAAGAGACGAAGACCCCGCCTTTGTCTAGAATTTGATTGGTCCTCGCCCGCAACCCCAATTGGCTCGGAAACCCGGAATGTCGAGGTTGCTTAGCAACCGCGTAACCGCCGCAGGGGCGGGGCGTGTGGGCATCGTGCGTGGAGGAGCTCACCTGAGGTAAGTCCGGACCGGCCTGGGAGGCGGGGCGAGCCCGGCTTCCCTTCGGCGGAGGATAATCACTGCAGGCCCGGCCAGGGAAGAGGATGGAGAGAAAATAGGGGAATAAGAAGCTGCTCTCGTTTACCCTTCCCTCATAAACATCGTTTTTGATTGGTCGTTGCTAAGACCCCGCCTCTTTTGGGTGGCAACTCCGCTGCCAAGATTCAGTATCGCGAGATTTGGGCTGGTGCGGCGGGAATGGGGCTCTGCACGTGTTTGGGCCGTTTGTCCACATTTTGGCGGGAAAAGGAACGAAGCTTTCTGAGGGGCGAACGGCGCGCCTCTCGGGAGGGAGATTTGGGACACTGTGTGTGCTGCCTGCGGCCCAGGGTTCCCTCAGAAATTCAAATATAACAGATGCCATGAAAATATAAATGTTGTAGAAATAGATGGAAATACCTTTTTTTAAAAAAATGTTTCAATCAAAAAAGGGCAACTTGAAAATTGGTATTTTAAAGCAACTAGGAGATAAATAATTATTGTAAGATAGTGATGATAGAGTGAATAAATACTTTCATCCTCTGTTTCCTCCCGAAATAAAAAAAAATCTGATTCGTGAGATTTATAAAAATCATTATCTTGAATCTTTCGACTGCTAAACAATAGAAAATCCTTTTATGTGTTACGTCAGTTTTATGAATTCATTACTGTCTTTAATTTTCAATGATTGGATTGCTGCTTTTGAAATAAGAGATTTCAAAAGAAACTCTTGGGTTTTCCCAGAACGTTTTTCTCCCGTGCTAAGAAATGTGTAAATGTTTCAGATTATTTTTTTCTGTTCCAGATTGTTCCTAAATTATTATTTTATTCCAAAGGCAAATTCCTTGTGTGCCCAATCACACTTGGCCAATGAAGAATTCTGTTCTATATTCTATATTCTCTTCTACTCTATTCTATTCTCTTATTTCTTATATTCTATTCTACTCTACTCTGCTTTATTCATTATTCTCTTCTTATTTCTTATTATCTTGTACTATATATTCTACTCTATATTCTCTATTCTATTCATTCTATTTCTATTCTAAATATTTTGGTAAGGGAATGTGACTCGCCTCCTCTAATGAGCTTAGGAGATGGCTTCCAATTGCAGATTTTCATGATAAATTTAAAAAACACAAGCTACAGTATATATATAATTTTTTTTGCTAAGGGATACATTTCTTAAGTGAATTTTGCCCCATTTTATGACTTTCGTTGTTGTTGTTAACCTGGTTGTTAAGTGAATCTGGCTTTCCCCCTTGACTTTGCTGGTCAGAGGGTCGCAAAAGGGGATCCCGTCATCTGGGGGATGCTGCGACCATCGGAAACAGGGGAGGATGTACCCAGACAGTGCACCGTTATTGTGAATGTGGAAATTTTATATATAGCAAAGAACATTGTATAATAATCATTGAAAAAAAGAAACAGGAGCCAGTTGCCAACCATTTAAATTTTGGTCATGTGACCATTGGGATGCTGCAATGGTCGTAAGTGTGGAAAATGGTCATAAGTCACGTTTTCCAGTGACATTGTAACTTTGAATAGTCACTAAATGAACTGTGGATAAGTCGTGGACTACCTGCGTATCTTCATCAGCAGAATGACAACAATAACGTTGTAAAAACTGCACAAAAACCTAAGCAAAACTTTGAAGATTTTAAGGTCTTCTTTTAATTACACTGCCTTTTTATTGAGCCCTGGTGACACGATGGTTGGAGTGCAGTGTTGCAGGCTGACTCTGCCAACTGCCAGCAGTTTGATCCTCACCCGGCTCAAGGTTGGCTCAGCCTTCCGTCCTTCCGAGATCAGTAAAATGAGGACCCCGATTGTTGGGGGCAAGAGGCTGACTTTGTAAACTGCTTAGAGAGGGCCTGTAATGCACTGTGAATAAGTCTAAGGGCCATGGCCGTTGTTATTTTTACTCCTGGTGTCATGCTTGTTTTTGCAGAAGCGCCTATGGAAAGTTCAGCTTTGTTTATGGACAGTAAGAATATGGCCTGTGCATCTTTCTCCTCTGGAGAAGCACATATGACAGATAAGCCCGGTACGTCCTTCAGTAGAGGAGCAGATAGCCCTGAAGACACGTAAGTGGCGACCATGCAGGCTCTTCAGGGTGATATCCCCGTGGCTGGAGGATTTTGTCCACATGAAGATGTAAATCATTGGAGTGATTGTAATCTTATATCATATCTCAAGAGGCCAGGGTATCAAGCAGCAGTTCACAAGTTAAATCGGCTAGGAACTAGAACCAGATATGGGAGGAGGCAAAATGGAGATCTACAGGTGTATTTATTATTTATTTGTTAAACTTCTTTGCTGCCTATCTTGCTGTGAGGCTACTCTGGGCGGCTCTACTTCCTGAGAGCTTTTCTTCCGCCTTACTTTCTTTTTGGAAGCAAAGGGACAAATTGGGATTTATATTCTAAATATATGCATATTTAGGCTGGAAAGAATAACTAAAGGAGAGAAAATCTGGGTCTAAAGCCATGGTTACTTATTCCCTTTATCAGTAGTAGCTCTGTTTTTCAAAAGTACAGCTGATTTTTGCTAAAAACAATTGATAACTCTGTTGGATGGTATCAAGTGGTTCATAATACAGTTATGGCTTTAATCAGTTATGTCCATGCATTTAGTTACAATTGTCTTTTCATAAAAATTTTTATGATGTTTCTTCTGCTCTTTTTTATGCATTTCATTGCAATTTTTTTTTTAAAAAAATCAGCAAATTAGCTGGTGATGTTTCCGGGGCAACAGCCAGTATTGATCGCAAGCCAAAATTCATGCAGCGGGCCAAAACATGGTCGGATGAAGTTGAAAATCTGTACAGATTTCAGCAAGCTGGCTATAGAGATGAAAATGAATATAAACAAGTAAAGCATGTTGATGTGGTAAGACTTGATAGATTTTAAGAATTGAGCATTTTAAAGATGAAAACTTACTATTCCGTACAATAACCTCCTTAGGTTTGTGGTAGTTTTTCACAATTTCCTCCTGGGATGATATGTGGCTCTTGGTAGAAAAAGCAACATCAGAGAATTTGTTCAGTGAGGGTTTCAAATAAATGACTAACTGAATTGGGGCAACATGGCAAACCGTGAAAGATAGGTTATAAATACCAATGGCTGAATTTACCCGTTTTGGAATCCTTGGGTGGAGAAACTTTCAAATACACCCCTCTCTAAACCATTTACTGGTCATGTATTAACATTTGCTGAAGAGCTGCTATCATACACATATGTTTACCTGCCCTGCAATGTGTTTTCCATGTTTAATTAGCATTTTAGTTTATATGTTGTGAATATGTGTTTGTATGCATAAATAATCTGCCTTTGATTTTTTTGAAGAAACTACAAAAGGGCACAGAAATTGACTTAAAAATAATAATAATCCAAATTCACAAATGCTGTACAATTCACATGTACACCGGGTTGTAGTCCTCAGTCTAGTTATTGGAGCTAAATCAGGTTTTCCTTGCTTTCAAGGGTGAGGGTTACATTTAGAAAGATGGGAAACAAATATTCAGCCCCTTTTTCCTCTCCACTTACTGCCCTGCTCTCCTTCTGGAAGGCTGCTGGGCTAATGGCTCTTGACCATGGCTAGTTGTAGAGACCAGGATGTGCTTATTTATTTATTTAATGTACGGCATATCATACATGAACCAGCAATGTATATTAACATTTCATCCAGATAAGTAGAACCCAGTAAAATATAAATGTTAAAAATGTGATGTGCTTCCCTTTGCTTTCCCAGGGTATTTTGCTAACATTAATAGTTGCCAAATTTGTGTCTGATAAGTGCAATATGTATTAGGCATCATGTTAACCTACATTTTCTTTTTTACTATCAATCACCAGAAGGGATAATAGCTGGTTATTTAATTGACCTGGCGTCTTTTCTCTTGGAGGGATTTTGAGATGTCCAAGAAAGCAAAATCTGAATAAAAACCAATAAAACCACTGTCAGTGAATTCACATTGGAAAGAGGTGGTGAAATACAAAGACTTTGATTCATCAACCTAAAATCAGAAAACAGGCTAAGCACATTTAATAGCATGGGAACGGCACAGCACAAGATGTGTGATCACAAATATTTTCTTGGTTTTAATATCCAGTTGCGTTCATATTGAATTGAATGACCCTGCAGCTTATTTGCTTATGGCAAATGCTTTTCTGCTGGTTCAGTCATGTGTCTAGTTGGAATCCAAGCTATTTAGGGCATTAAATGTTTGCTTGGATCCGGAAAGTAATAATTTAAGTTACTTTCATGA